CTACAAGTAAACATCACCATTCATCTCAAATGTTTTTCATGTACTATAGTTTCCAGACCTCATAGTATTATTTTCCTGTGATATGTTTGTTATGATTATCCTTCATATACTGTCGTATCTTGACTGAAGAGATAAAATCCACAGCATGATTTTGCCTAGTCATTGTATTATATTTTTAGCAGCTTCCTTTTTTTTTTTTAAGTTTATTTACTCCATGTTTGAGAGAGTGACAGAGACAGAATATAGTGCAGTCCTCACACTGTGATCCACTCCCAGCTTTAGCCTGTTCAGACCCCAACCCCAGCTTTAGCCAGCTCACATGTCCCTGGTATTTTCAGTGTGGTTTCTGGCATCATTCCCATCTGGGTATATATCCCACTGCGTTGTGTTTTGCTACCGCACCACCATCCAAACCTCAGCAACTTGTGTCATAGGGATGGAGAAGTCCTCAACTCCTTTAGTATATCCTACACACAAACACAACCGCACAAAATCAGTTTTGCACAGCACCACTGTAAAATAAAGGAAGCTGAGATCAATATATCTAGTCTAAAATAGGTATATTATCTATACATAGAATAATAAGCAAACTTGTGACTTTGTCTCAAAGTTATTACCAAGATTTGATATTTGGGGGGGGGAACCGGACTATAGCAACATGCTATATACACTATTACAAAGAAATGACTAACAGAGGACCAGCTGTTGGTGTAGTGGTTATGTCACTGGTTCAAGTCCCAGACCTGGTGGCTTAAACGCATGCTGGGCGCGTGTGCGTGCGTGCCCAAGATGCTGAGAGGAGAATGGAGGAGAAGGGATTGTGGTTTGACCATCCCCCCTGGGTGGTGGTTTCTCGCTTTCTGTCTCTCTGTCTCTCTCTGTCTTTCTGGAGAGTGCACGCACCCTATAGCAAAAACTTCTCCAAAAAAAAGAAAAGAAAAAAGAAAATAAATGACTAACAGGACTCAGTGAAAAGATTAGATTGTTCTTCCTAGAAAATAATAATAAAACTGGGCCAAAAAAACATCAGTTTACATGTTCTG